ATGATTAGGTATCTTCCACACACACACACACACACACACACACACACACATACACGCACACACACACACACACAGGGCGTACCACTGGTCTAGAATATTAACTTTTAGAGTCGTGAGAGCGGGAACAAGCCATGCGCCCGTGCAGGTACCACTTAAGATGCTAATGTTTAGGGGGTTCGCGTATGAGCTGCCCGATCCAATTAATGCATTTTGAGGGAAGAAGAACACGGATCTCAAATATACCTGGTTATTCATAAAGCCGTAACGAATGACTTTGTGTTTTTGGACTGCTGGTTGATCCACGGCACCACTGTTTGTGGCTGCATCTAGCAGTGCCTTGAGCTTCCCACTGAGAGTCCGAGTAATACTGATTACATTGATAAAAAGCTGTTACCGCTAGTTTGCTCCGCTCCCCCTGTCTCTCCGATTGTACCTCTACTACACCTTCCTACTTCCCCTTTACTTCTACTCCCTCCTCCCCCCGCCTTGCCCTCCTCTTCCCTGGGCCAACATTTCCGTTGTAGTGTTATTTTTACGCTCACCCAACAAAATGTTGCATTTCTATTTGCTCACCACTGAATTTTTGAACTTGCAACTGACTTGCAAGCATTTGTATCGGACTCGTTTGCATTTTCACTAAAGGCCTGCTCATTTTCGTTGAGATCGTGCCCATTTTCATTGAAGTCTCGTCCATTTTCGTTGAAGTCTTGTCCATTTTCGTTGAAGTCGTGTCCATTTCTGTTGAAGTTGTGTCCATTTTTGTTGAAGTTGTGTCTATTTTTGTTGAAGTTGTGTCCATTTTCGTTGTAGTCGTATGCGTTGTACTGATTTTTGTAGTTCTGTGCATTTTTGTGGTCGTGACTTCCGTGGTCTCACTTTCAGGTTCCACAAGCGGTAATTTTGTCCCTCTTAGCATGCTATGTCCACCACCAAATGCTAGAAAAAAGAAATTATCAGACAAATAGCTAAACAGACGAATGAAGCGAAGTGTAGAGCATAGTCAAAACTGCTTGTATGCCGTCGTCATATTCGCTTAAAAACTCTGCTGTTCTTGAAATTCAAACTGAACACAATTGCACACTAATTAAAATCTCTGTGACACTCAGCGCTTTGTGAAAAGATTGACTGATTTAACGAAGTGGGAACAGATAAAATTCTATTTTAAAACTGCTTTAATCATCGAAAAAAAAAGAAAGAAAATTTGGCTCCAACACTTAGTGCTTATGCGAAATGTTGGTGTTTCATCAGTGAGACAACCGATTCCTCTACGATTCGTTCATTGGTCTTGATGGTCAATTTGTGTAGTAGCACGTTTGCAACAGTTTAGAGCTTTCATCAGCTTTAAAATCCTCGAGACAAAAAGTCGTCACAGGCTTTTCAAGGAATTGTTGCCACTGACAGATCCTACCACTCGGGCTACTTCCGAATGTTTCGCCAACTAAAGTGGGCAGCGATTAAGTTTTGGTTTTTTTTTGGCTTCGATTTGGTATCCCCACAATTCGTAGCACCTCCGAATATGCCACGGAACAGATAACATTTCGATAATAAACATGCAGGACGGTGAAATATAAAAAAGGAAGGATTTCACCTGAATGTCATGTGTATGAAGACATTTTATGAAGCAGTCTTTGTTTCATTCTCTAGCTGTGTGAACGCAGACCGAACTATGCATGCGGGTAGGAGCGAAAAGTTTGATGTGTGGGATTATGTTAGGTTTTTTATGGCGAAATCTAACTGGAATTGGGAAGTTAAGACGCGACAGGCCAGGAAGCGATCACTTGAAATATCTTTACCGATTAGTTCTGTGGTGTAGCACAAAAAAACGCTGTGTACAAAGACGCAAGAATACAAGAACTAGTCCCAAACATATCTTTCTGTGACAGATAAGCATAATGCAAGGAAAGTGAAATTTGAGGCCGCAAATAATTTCTTGAGGGGATCTTGAGGCAACAAATAATTACCGCGCTTAATTGGAGAAAGTTGCGAAAAAAAATTTAGTAATTATAGCTAATAACACGCGAAACCTGTTCCAGATTGGCTTGATGAGGAGACTATGGTACCTGGCACCTTCCACTGCTACCTGAGCTTCAAGTCATTCCATACACAATGAACTGAATTGCAGCTCATTTGAGCTTCCGCTTGGAAAGTCATACAATCAGAGCCCTGCGTTGGCACCGGACTATTCTACAACCAGAACAACCCTTTAAACCTGGCCATTATTTCATCTTGTAGGATCGAGAAAGCAATTTTTCTTTTCTTTTTTTCTTTCTTTTAGTTTAGGCCATCCCGGAAATCCAGGTAATCTTGAGGCAGCGAATAATTTCCGTGCGGAGTAAGCTGCAAACCGTGAAATCAGCCACTATAAGTTGCAAGCAATGAATTCAAACCAGTACCCTCAGTTTCGTACAAAATGGTTAGAGTAAAAAAGATCAGTGCCGTTAGGCGACCATCCGCCCGCATAATAAAAAAAACAATACATTTAGCAAAAGTTATTTGATTTTTATCCGATTCAGAAAAAGGTGACAACAAATCCACCCTTTGTGAGTGTTTGCATAAATCAGCAAAGACAGTGCGCATAAGAAGTTTGACTCGACCTTGGTTATGCTTTTTTATGCGTTTTTGCTTGTATGCAAATTGCGAAAACGCATATTGCAACGACCCTGTCTGTGTGTGTATGTTTGTGTGTGCGTGCGTTCGTCTGTCTGGGTATTTCAACTCTGTAACCAAGCAAGTTCCAGCGCTAAGATTTTGTTAATTCGTACCCCGGCCAAGTGCCACCACAGAACCGCAATACCAACCCTCATGCATGTCTGAGCCCTGCGTACAAGGAAGTGGAAGTTTTGGCGCGGAAATTGATAACTCGGAAACAAGAAAAGATAGAAGGCTGAAACTTTGGAAGTATGTGCCCAAACAATACGCGACCCTCCCGTTTTAATATCATTCTCTGCGGACGTCTGGGTGCCGCGTACGGGAACTTTAAAAAAATATGCAGATTTTTTGGCGGGAAAGCGATCTCGGGAACCATCCCTTAATGAACAGAATAGCGAGCGAATGCGCATACTTCTCGCGGTGTTCACCCACACCAATTATCTGCATAAACGACGTAACGCACGAAATATATTCATTCGTTATACATTATAATTTTGTTCGTTATACGTTAAAAATGTTCGTTCGTTACAAATTAAAATTCGTTGATCGCATTTTCCGATTGGCATTGGTTGTTGCTCGCCTTGTTGACAGTCGGTGAAGATCGCGCTCACTAGTGATAGTGTCCTCAGGAAAATAAGCGACCACGTGGAAGGATTTGGCAGAGGTTGAGCAAAAAATCGACTGTAGGCAGTGGATACCAACGGGAGGACGTATATATTTTAGAACCGAAGAGTCTGACACGGTGCACTCGGCAAGTGGAAGCATAAAACTGGCATCATTAAAGTAAGATATCGGCGCTGACGGCTGTGCAGTTTTAGTAATCCTGGCAACCATATATTCCTAGTATGGAGAAGTGTTTGTTCAAGGCTTTTCTAAAAGCTGCATTTTCTACGACCGTTCTTACAACGCAGAATTTTCATTTATTCGGTTCTTCTGAAAGTGAGTTTTTTGGTGCCGATTTAAGCTCTTTCGAGCACTCATCCTTTTGTCGCAAAATTCGCATTTGTAGGGCTTCTCACCAGTATGAGTTCGCATGTGCTCTTTCAAATGAGCTTTTCGTCCGAAACTTGAATTGCACTGGCTGCATCCGAACGGCTTTTCACCAGTATGAATTCTGCAGTGCACCCGTAAGTCCCCCACTGCCCGGAATTTTTTGCCGCACTGATCACAGCCATATGGCTTTTCATCAGTGTGAATCCGCATATGCACTTTTAAATGAGTTTCTTGTCTGAAGCTTGAATTGCACTGGCTGCATGCAAACGGCTTTTCGTCTGTATGAGTCAGTATGTGCCTTTTCAAATGAGCTTTTCGCGCGAAGCTCGAATTACACTGGCTGCATGCGAATGGCTTTTCGCCAGTATGAATTAGCACATGCATTTGCAGACTACTTTTCTGCGCGAAGCTCGAACTGCACTGGCTGCACCTGAATTGCTTTTCGCCAGTGTGCACCTTGCAATGCCTTCGTAAATTTCCCACTAATGCGAACTTTTTACCGCACTGCTTGCAGTCGTATGGCCTTTCCCCAGTATGAGTTAGCATGTGTCCTTGCAAATTAATTTTTCGCTTGAAGCGCAATTTGCATTGGTTGCATTCGAACGGTTTTTCATCAGGATTTTTCCGTAAAGTTTCTATTCTTCCGAACTTTTTACCGTGCTGTTCATAGCTGTATGGCTTCTTATCAGTGT